GTAGCGATGGGTCGCGGTCTAAAAATGGAAATTTCTCGCCTTTCAAGATAGCGCAGAAGGTATTTGATTTTAGGGCCGCTATGTTCGCATCCCCCGACTCATAATCGAAGTGGTCTCGTGCGATCTCATGCGCGGCCATTATTAAGTCGGGTCTGGGCTGCCTGCGGTTACAGAATCGCTCGCAGAAGCCCCCTTGACTCTCTTTCTATAAAAAAAGCTTTCTGCATCATCAACGGCGCTGGCGCAGGTTTTTCTTCCTTCTGTCTAGCTCCCCGAAAACAACGTTCGACTTGCATGTGTTAAGCATATAGCTAGCGTTCCTTCTGAGCCAGAATCAAACTCTTCTTTTGAGTATGATTAGGCCCCGCAGTGGTAGAACTCGGTGAACCAGGCGTACTACTGAACATTGATTCTCTCTCCTGAACTATGTAGTTTTTTTGATATTCTTTCTAGCAACTCAATCAAAATCAAAGAAAACTACAAGCAACTACATCAACAACCCAAGGGCAAGGGCCTAAAGTCTCAAAAGGGCAAGGACTCCAAGAAGAAGCCAAGCCTGAGGCCAAGAAAAGCGAGCTCAAGATCAGGAGCCAAAGCGGACCGAGAAAAAAGAAGGAAGGCTTCATCTGCTCTAAGCCCCTAAAGAAGTTAAGGGCGACAGCCCTCAAAAAAATGAAATGGAAAGAGTTCATTTCTTCCTCAAATTGGATTAATGGATCGTCCAACTGGAAATGATAACAGAATGCATAGGTCATTAGAAAGAGTTCCAATAAGCGGATAAATAGAGTATACCACCTGACTTCTTTCCTCTATGAGGGAGAAAGCAAATTGAAGAATCCGCAGATATGAGAAAAAATCAAATGGCAAGGAAAATGACTCGTGATAAAGACAAGATGGACTTTGGCCAGACGTGCTCGGAATCTTTTTTATTTTTTGATTCGGCCTGAACCTCGTAAACTCGGTAGCTCCTCGCTTTTGTTCAATTATAAATAAAGAACCACTTTGATGAAGATTTGTAGCATCATTCAAGTAAATACAGATTAAGATCGTAGAAACATGAGCTTGTGATATAGCTACACGTAATTCCGGACCGGTTAATGCAAGAACTATAAATAAAGGACCAGGATCCCCTATGAAATATAAAAGATCATTCATACATAGCATAGTCCAAGCGGACCCACTTAAAATCTTTACTGAACTATGACCGGCCATCATATTAGCAAATAAACGTATTCCTGAGCTTAATGCGCGAAAACAATGAGGGATTAGCTCAAGGAGTACTAAAAAAGGTGCTAACGGCAGTGGGACTCCTGCGGGTAATAAAAAGCTTAAAAAATGAAGCCCATTTCTTTGAAATCCCACTATAGTAATGCCAATAAAAAGAGAAAATGAGAGACCCAAAGTAATGAGAAAATGACTTGTAACTGTGAAGCTATAAGGTATCATACCCTGGAGATTACGAAATAACGAAAAAGTAAAAGTGACCGAGATGCGAGGGAAAAACTTTTGTTTCACATTTCCGGAAAGACCACCTATTTGTTCGTTTACCGGGTTCGGCACGAAATCATAAATAAGCTCTACCAAGGATTGCCAAGCATTTGGTACTGAGTTTCCTCCTCCGTTTTTAGTAACAAAATGAACCAGAAGTAGGACCAAACTGAGAGTTATCAGCATAAACAAAGATGGATTTGTGAATGAGAAAGAAAAGTTTCCTATATTCATAGGAATCAATGGGAGAATGGCAAATTGCTCAAGTGGGCTGTTGGGCGTAATCGTAAGAAACACTTTTCATTTCATCCATAAAGTTTACCTTCATATTTCAAAATAGAAGACAGAAATGCATTCAGTATATGTAGGTATGGTTCAACCTAGAACGGCCAGGGAGTTTATGGGCATTTATTGGGTGATCTCAATCAGGAAAGAAAAGCCCTTACTCCGTTTTGAAAAGAGAACGAGAGCATTTTTAGAAAGGGCGAATTGATCAACAAGAGAGTGATAAGCATTCAGTCGAACTAGCATGATTGCATATATAAGGACTGAGGAAATATAATATGAGTACATGCCGCTCCGTGGGCTTCTTATTCTTAGATGGAGGAAGTAGTAAGCAAGTACATAACGCTACGATGTGG